TGGAGGAAAATAAAGATTGCATGTGCCGATTGGGTCCCATCGGCCACGCTGGCGTTCCCGGTCCGGGTGACGGATGGGGGACAAAGGGTCCACTCGCCAATAAACCCTAAGGATGTACAAGCAATTGTTAAAGCGATTGCGGACAAAGGGCTTAATTCTGCCATGGTCTCCACCCTTATAGATGGTGTCTTCGGGGGAGATGAAGATGACATGCTCCCGTTCGATATAAAACAAACTTGTAGACTGATCTTTGACGGGGCAGGGATGATTGTTTTTAAACAACAATGGGAGGACAACTGTGCGAGGCAACTAGCCCAAGTAACCGGAGCAGATCACCTGCTGCATGGCTCCAGCCTGCAGCGGCTGATGGGTACAGACCCAACAATGATTACCCCCCAGGCACAGGCCCAGGGCCTGCGGGCCCATGAGGTTATGACAACTACTCGTGCGGCCAGAGAAGCTATTCGCACAGCCTCTAGAGTTATTGTCAAGCCATTGCCATGGTCCACAATAAAGCAAAATGAAAGTGAGTGCTTTACACAATTTGTGGATCGCCTCCAGGCAGTGGTTGACTCCTCGACCCTGCCCGCGGAAGCGAAAGGCCCGGTTGTTGCAGATTGCTTATGTCCGCAGTGTAATTCGGCAACCAAAGAAATCCTGCGATCACTACCAGTGGGGTCAAGTATCGCGGACATGATTAAGCATGTCGCAAAAGAAGAGCATCTAGCCCCGATTCAAGTGGCTGTTCGTACCGCAATAGTTAATGTGATGGCATGTTTCAAATGTGGCCAGGCGGGCCACGTTGTGGCAAACTGCCCTCGGTTGGGGGCCCCGCCAACACTGCTCCCCCCATGCCAAAATCAACCCAGAGGACCGTGCTGGGCCTGTGGAAAGAAAGGGCATTTCGCCAAGGAATGCAGATCTAAAAACCAGGGAAACGGAAGGGGGAGAGGGCACCCGGGCCACGCACAGCCCTCTCCCACTTGGGACACGAGGCGGCCCAACTATGCCAACCCCAGATGGGGCGAAGCGCTCCCGAACCCGCTGCCCCCTCGAGAAGCGACCAACTTTATGGTTCAACCCACGATCCAGCTGAACCTGTCCCTACCTCAGGGACAGCAAGGACCACCCCTTGGGGGCGAGACCCCAGGGTGGCCCTGGCAGTAAAGTGTGACAACCTGCCAGTGGTGTGGGGGATCTGCTCCCTTTATAATACCTTAAATGGCACCACCATTAGTGTCCCCTTTTT